ATTATAATGTACTATGTGTATGAACACTTGTGTGCCTACATCTCACTGTCAATCTCTTTTCTTAACACCACGCAACGCGGTTAAACGTTTATCTTTCTTAAATGCTTGCATAAATACACACAATTTTTTTGTATATATATATACATATGCCTATATACCTTATTACACATTGCATTTAAGGTCACCACTGACACACCTCGCCTTGATGGCCTGCAACTGCTTTTGTAGAAAATTAAAAAAAAAACCGCACACAGGCGAAGTAATATTTATATATGTAAATATATATATATATATATATATGTATATAAAAATATATATCACTCACTATACATACATACCTGTAGCTTTACAAAATTCGGCCTCTATATTTGTTTAAACAATTTTCGCCATACTTATTGACCTCGAAAGCATTGCTCCCCATACTCCTACCTTCCCCACGCCCTCGCACACGTCGCTCATATATTCAACAATTCTACAATATTTACAATATATTTGTATATTTGTATGTTGATTCATCTCTCTATAAAGCAGCATGCGAGTGTAAACAAATTAAAAAGAAGGCGAAGGAAAAGCCAGCAGTGCTGCACTTTACCGGCTGTACTATTTATTTGACCATTGATTTTGGCAGCCGTAGCCGAATTGATATGTGTGTAGTGAAAACAAAACAAAAATAACACCTTGGTAATTGAAGCGGAGCAATATAGCAGAAATCTCTGCATTTTTTTCCAATTTTCCAATTCAACGAAAAGTGTGGATGGGGTTGTGCACACAAGCAACAACAAAAAACATTTTCTATTTTTCGGTTTGATTTTTCCTTTTTTATTCAAAAATTTATTTTTCTCTAATTTGCCTTAATTTATCTACATTTTTTTTTTGGACGCGAAATTTTTTTTTATAACTCATCTTTATTTTCTTTTTCATTTTTCTTCATATTTTTTGTTTTTTTGGTTTTTGTAAATTATTTTGTGTGTTTTTTTTTCGTTCAATTTTTTTTTTTTAAGTTTTTGAAATCTTTTGGTTAGTTTTTCTTTACTTTTTTCCACATTAAACACTGATTTCCTCAACAGCCGTCATTACTTGTTTTTCAAAAGCAACAAAAAAAAAAAGAAAAAAATCAGCCAACACGTCGGATAAAACATTTAAATTTTTTCCCCCATTTTTCTCCCTCCTCTATCTTCTTTGTGTGCATATGTGTGTGTATGTGTGTGTGTTTTTTTTAATTTTCTGCAGACCCAAAAGCTTATTGGCATTTGTCCAAATTTCATGGTTAAACCAGAGGAAGACCAACAGGCAACAGCACTGCGGCAATACGGCAGACGGCGTAACAGCGCGAGCTAAAAGCAGCTATTTGGTAGATCTAAAGCAGTGCTGAGTTAGCTTGGTTGAGACACGATGGTATTTTGGCACATTTCGTTGGGTATTTTGGCCACTCGTTGCGCATGTTGTACGTTGTTGCAGACTCTTTTGTATATTTTATTTATTTTGTTTTTTCGTCTTGATTCGTCTGCTAAGTTTGAAAAGTTTATTCTATTTTTTTTTTTTGTAATTTTTTCTAATTTTTTTATAAATTTATTTTCTTTTTCTAAGTCTTTTAAGCATTTTTCTCTTCATCCCTCTGCTTTTTATTTATTTTATTGTGGTTCTCTCGTCTTAATGGTGTCTACTTTAGTGCCGAATTCAATTGTTGTCAAAGCCCTTTCAGCTTGTTCTTGCTGTTTGTGTGTGCAGAATCAGAAATAGTTAATATAAAGATCTTTTTAATTCGTGAAATATTTTTAGGGTGAATAATAGAACAGGCAGAGCAATTCATTTTCGAATAGATTTCTCAAAACTTGTTTGAAATCAGAAACCCTTTCCACTGAAGAAGTTCTATCATTGGTTTCGCATACACCTAATATTCAAAAAGCACTTAAGTACTGGAACAAATCGTGATTTTTGATCATTTTGTTCTTGGTTGGATCGAAACCGAAATCATTTTATAAACTATAAAGCAGCGGTTCTCTTTAGTCGATTATCAATATTGATCATGAAGTACTGTAATCATGAAGTGCAGTAAAAGTGGAATGTACCAACAAATAATAGACGAAATGAGGATCAAAATCGATCGAGTAATCTCAGTTGTAAGCTCGAACCGAGAGCAAATATTAAGTGGTCCTTCTTTGAAGTCTAAAATTCAACTCAACCCAATACAATTACTTTTTCCAGTGTAATTAAATCTTGCATCCCTATTACTAATAAAGGCCTGAAGTGCTTGCTTTTAATATTAAAACTCAAGCGATATATTTCTTCGAATAAAAAACTAATGAGACATTTTAAGCAACAGAGCGCGCCTACATACATTATTCCTTTTAAAAAGTCAAGTAGAAACGAACGTTAACGTCACTTGAAGAGTGCGACACAAGAGAGAGAGAAACGGAGAGAGAGAGAGAGAGAGAGTTGATTGAGAGTGATTTTTTTTTTATCGCTGACAGCAATTCCACACCAGGCAGTGATGCATTTTCGTCTGTGTTTCTGAAAACATCAGCTGAATATGTATTTTTCAATAATTAGTGTATTGAAATACCTGCTCCCGCTCAGTAAGTCTCAATACATAACCGACAGATTTTCTCAGAGCAATATTGTAGTGCTTAAGTGTATTGTTTGAAAGCCAAAAACTCATAAATCACTCTGAGTAAATAAAAAAGTGAAGACAAGTTTCTTTGCTTTCTTTTAGGGCAATGGTTCTTCAGAGAGAGAGTTCTGGAACAAACACTGTTTCCCGGTATTTTGTGATATGCTTCGACGTGAGAATTTCAACACGAGATTCTTGGTAGAAATTAATTCAGCCATTCATCAGTGCTCGGACCCAGTACTAAGGGCATACAGCCATACCTCAAACAAGCCCATAAATATTCCGCCTTCTCGTTTACAAAACTTTTAGTTACATACATGTCATCATAACTTTCCCCCAAAGAGGTGACACACATTACAATAAAATACATTAAAAGAATGTCTATTAGACCTCAAACATACATACCAAAAAGAAAAAAACAAGAACAGCAACAATACACACACGCACCTACATAGCTATCCGCAAATTGACAGGCAATAATATTGTGAACTTTTTCGGCAGCTAAGTAAATACTTGAGTATGTGGGCGGGCGGCGAAAGTTCTCTTAGACCAATTCGCCTCCCCTCTCTCCTCTCTTGCGCTCGCCGCAGCTCTATATCGCACAATAGACGTATAAAAATAGATAAACTACAGTTGATGAAATAAAAAAACTGAAAACATACTTTGTTGCACGCACTTGAAGGCAGAAAATACATATATACGAAAATGCTTGCAACAATCGGTGGAGGGTATCTTTATAGTCATTGGAGCTCTTAGCGGACACGTACTCGACATGTGTGCTTTTTTATTTGCTTAGATTTGAAATTTTTGGTTGTTTTTTTTTTTGTTTTTGTTTTTTTTNTTTTTTTTTTTTTTTTTTTTTTTTTTTTGTAACTCAAACTGTCAATACTTGTTTCGTGGCGTTTTTTTCTCAGAAAAATAAAATTATTTATTTTCAAAGCTGCCACTTTTGGTGTGGCCACTGAATTTGCTGTCTTGTCTCGCCTTGCCTTCGCGGTTCTTTGCCGATCTGTCAGCTCTTCCGTTGGCCTGGTGTTGGTCCGCATAGCTTTTGACGTGCGAGGTCACTTGGCTCGTGGTAGCTTTTGTAGCTGCTGCTTCTTCTTTTTTGTTCTTTTATTTTTTTTTTTTTTGCTACTCAACAACTTGAACGCAATGAATTTTGCACACAAACACATACATATATATATATATTTCTATACGTGTATTGTTGCTTATTTTCGTACATAATTAAAAGAGGCTATCAAATGTGACTGTTGGTATGGTTGTTACTGCTGCTGTGCACACATACAGTTGTCAAATCGACTGATGGGCAGTTGACTGTTAGTGTACTCGTACATGTATGTGTGTGTGTGTATGGTTTATTTTGGTTATTGTTTACTGGCTTGTGGCTTGTGGCACTTCAATTACTTATGTTGTTACTGTTGTTGGCGTTGTTGTTGTTGCTACATTGAGTGACATTTATTGCCAGCATACCATTGTCATCGGCAACAAATGTATGTATATAGATTTGTACACGCATACATACAATATGTATGTTTATGTGCTTGCCGCTTGTCACACTGTCGAACTGTCACAGTAGTGGTGGTGGTGGTGGAGGTTGCTGTTGTTGTCTGCTGCATTGCGCGCCCAATATGAAACAAAACATTTCACTTAGTTTATTCTTTTTGCGGCTTTTATTGTCTGTTTTTTTTTTTCTTTTTTTGGTTTTCAACTGTTGTGTTTTAAACTTTTTTTATGTATTTCTGTCTTTTTTTTCATACTCTGTATTGTTAGCTGGTAGCTGGCGGATAGGTAATCTTGCTGGCGCATTTTTTCACCACTAAATTGAATTTGTGTTTTATTTTTGTGGGCCAAGGCAATTTCTTTGACGTTATTCCCTAGCCGCTGAGTGATGCTGTACGGTGGTGATCGCGCACAAAATTTGTTGTTGGTGACATTGTTGGTGTTGGTGGAATTAATAGTCAAATGGTATTGCGTTGAACTAAAGAGCACGTTTGGTTGATATAACGGTGGAAAATGCACATTTTTTGGTGCAATCGGAATTTTTGAAAATTATTTGTCTTCTCAATATTTGAAGTACAACAACAAAAGAACAAAATTTGCGAAATTTATATTTGCTTTTTGGTAATTTATTTTGTATTTATTTTTTATTTAATTTATGTTATTTTGTTTATTTTTTATTTTTTTCGATCTTTATTGTTTTTTAAATAATTTTATTTAATATTTTATTTATTTTCATTAACATAATTATTTGTGGTAAAAATGGAAAAAGTATAAATAAATAAATCTATATGAAAGTAAAATTTATTTAAAAACAATTTTATATCTTTCCAGTTCCAATATAATTTTAAACTTTTTCTAACTCGATTTTTCTCTTTTATTTCAGTCCCATTTTTAAAGGAAAGTTTTTCTACTCGTTTTAAAAGTAAGGTAAGTGTGCATTTTAGAATATTTAATAAAAATTTTGTAAAAATTAAAGCTAAAAAATAAAAACCACTTTCAGAAAGAAATTGCAAAAAAAAAATTTGGAATGTAAATCAAAAAATTAAACTGTGGTAAAAAAAATAATAACAAAAAAATGTTGCAAAGTTTGGAAAGCAAAACGGATTTGGAAAAATAAATTAAAAATATTTTTTTGAACATCAAGAAATAGTAACAAAATACTTTTTTAACAAAAAATTAGAAAGTCGGAAAAGTTTTAATGAAATAGTACTTTTAAGTATAAAAAATTCAAACTATCAAAAAGTTAAAAAAAAAGAAAAAACTAAACATAAATCGAAAAGGTTAAAGCGAAATTGAAGAAAATACATTAATAATTATTTTTTTTATAATCAAAAAGTGAGTAATAATATTAATTTCTACAATAATGAAATTCCGCTATTGAAATTAAAATAGGTATATATTAAGATTTTGGAAAAGTATTTGTTTAAACATAAAAAATCAAACTAACAAAAAATAATTTAAGATTAAACAGTTAATTAAATAAATTTTAAAAATTTTTAATTGGTTTTTATAATATCGAAAATCCCAAAATTAAAAATATTTCTGCAATTCTGTTGTTAACAGAATAATAAATAAATGAAAACAAGTTTTTATTGAAAATAAAACTTCAAACTATCAAGCGAATAATAAATACAAAATATTATAATAAAATAGAAACAATAACGAAATGAAATAAAAATTTAAAAATCTTTAGATAATTTTTTTAACACCGAAAATCGAGAATAAAAAATTGTGTTTTATTCAAATAAGAACGAAAGTGCAAAAAAAAGACTATTTTTGAAAAAAAAAATTTACGGATAATTGTTAAAATATTAAAAAATTATATATGTATATACGTATATAAAACAAATATTTGAAAATATCGATAAACAAGAATACTCAACTAACAATCCCACCAGTTATTAAGAGTAATAAAAAAATTAATATTTAAATTACATGTTATTTTGTTAAAGGTTTTTTTGACAAAATTTGAGCAAAAATAAAATGAAAACTTTCTCAACAAAATCAATAAAATATAAAAAAAATATTTAGAAATCAAACGGCCTTGAAAAGATATTTAAAAAAAAATTTTCTGTATTTATTGTTTTTTTTTTTAAGAAGCGTGTTTAAGCTAAAATAGCAAGAAATTTAAAAAAAAATGGATGAAAATAGATATTTTTTTTAATTTACCTCTTAATTTTTCTAACATAATTTTAATATCCAAAGTGATAAATAAGTTTTTCGAGCATCTTAAATATTAAATTAACTATTTTACAATATTTTCCTAGACAAAATTTTCCATTACTTTATATCTTTATGTTTTCTTTGAATTAAAATAGTTTGAATAGTTTGCTGCTCCAAGTTTTAATAGTTACAAATGTACATATGTATGTATGTGTCTATATTCGACCCGAAATAGTTTCGCTATATTCTCATATGAGAATAATATTCACCATTTTTTGCAACACAACCACAAGAACGGCCAAGCATCATCGCCACCACAACATCCCCCTGAAGTCGCATACAACAAACAGCCTTCACTTCCGCCCTCTGACCGGCACTTGTGGCAACAACGCTACTTAAGTGCACGCACATACACATACACAAATATGTACATATATGTATATATTTGTACTAACGTCATCAGCTGGCAACCAACCACTCGTATGAGCCACCAACATATGCTAATTCCCTCTTGGCTGCTTGTGGCTGACTGCGGTTGTTGACGCGACGTTGGCCTACTGCGTCATTGCGCCTTGACGCGCCAACTTTGCCAAAGCGCTAGCACCACTTTTTGTCACATTTTGCCTTGTATTATTAGTCACTCTTATGTAGCGGTGGTGCTGTTGAATGGAGCTTGTGATGTTGGGCGGTGAGGATGATGGTGTTAACTGAGGTGGTTGGTGATGGCGACTTTGATGAAGGCGACGCTGTTGTTGGCAGCGTCGTTGATGTCCTCGAAGATCTAACCGCAATCGTCGTCAGCACTAACACCTTCTTCTTCGTCCCTTTCCAGCTCCGAGTGTCTCTCAACTCATTGTCCACTTGAGTTCTTGAGTGCCAGCACATTCAATTTGTTAGCGCGCGCACATACACGCACGCGTCTAGGCACTTCGACTCATGACTATGTGTGGCGACGCGTGTGTTTCTGTGGTTAATTTGCTTGACTGCATACATACATACATACATACATATGTCTTTGCTGCCTATGTCATTGCCTCGGGCATGCATTACTATGTAAATTTACACACACGCAGCTTGTTTGCGAGGTCGGCACCGGATGTGCGGCGTTGTGCTCCAATTTCCTTTGCGGTGACGCCATCTTTCAGCCATCTTCGCTATCTTCTCAATTTGGTTCGGCTTTGAACTGGCGGGCTATGTTTGCTTGCAAGTTTGTTTGCTTGTTTATTTGCTCCGTCGCTTTATTTGCCTGACACTGCGAACAGCGCGTAGCGATTCAGCAGATTCGTTCTCTCCGCATTTGGTTTTGTCTTTTTGCTACTTTTTTAAATACGTTTGCATTTGCGGTTGAACGCTGGCTCCTAACTGCGTCCATCTTTAGTTATGTTCATGTGTCTGCGCGCTTAAATCCCCAAGCAATTTGACATTTTTTCGCCGTCCTCACTGTAAATTTCATTTACTTATGTTTTTTTGCCTCCCTTTTTTCTCGAAATTGTTTTTTTTTTGTGTATTTCGCGTTTTCCATTTTTCACATCCTCTAGTCCTTTTTCCACAATTTTCACCCTGCATTTGTTTATTTTTGGTCTCTCACTTATTAAAAAAATATATTCTTCTGTTTACTTTACTGTGAAAGCGTTTCCTTATACATATATGTATATATATTATATATATATATTTAGCCTTATGCGCTTGATTAGCTTCCGGAAGAGGAAGAATGGTAAGTGGGCAGACCGTTTGGTCATGGTCTGTGAGCCTCTGGTGGCTTTGAGAAAAGGGAAGTGAAAGACTATATCGTGGTAATTCAAAAGATTTTCGCTCCCAAAAGCTGTTTCTAATAATACTTAATGGGAAAAATTTTTATTGCAATTTTTATTTTAATATTCAGGGCAAATTTAAATTTTAAGGCCACCAGGAAGCTGGGAGGAATTTCTCAATGGTAACTAAGCTTTCAAGGATCATAAAATCAGATATTTTACAATTCTTTAATTATTTTATTTTATTTTATTTTATTTTATTTTATTTTATTTTATTTTATTTTATTTTATTTTATTTTATTTTATTTTATTTTATTTTATTTTATTTTATTTTAATTTATTACATTTTAATTTATTTTATTTCAATTTGGTTTATTAAGTTTTTGTTTTATTTTACTTATTTGGCTTTATTTTTATTATTTTAATTTATTTCATATTATTTATATTATAATTATTTATTTCCCTTCATGATATTTTGTTCATTTAATTTTTCATTATATTCCATTATTTTGTATTTTTTTAAATTTGTTCTAAGTTATTTTAATTTATTTTTCTAACCATTGCAATTTTTTTTAACCAATCATCTCGTCACTTCCAACAAATTTCCCATTCGTCACCACGACATAACAAATTCATTTACACATATTTGCTATACGCTTCAATTCGCTTACCAGTTCAACACCAATAAATAAATCCCCAGTGAATGAATGGTGAAGACCAACTATTTTAAGAGCCGCGTTGAGCGATTTACGGTCATTCTTAAGCTCAACTGCAAAGTAACAGCGAAAGACAACCTAGAACATTGTCGAGAAAGACACACAGAATCATAGCAAGTGAAGAAGCAGGATGAAAATATTGAATGCAGGCACAGCCTCATATACATATATATCATGATAAATAGCTTTTCTGCTTCCAATGAATTGCTTTTCACGCAAACATTGGTCATTCATATAGACAATTCTTATACGTGTATACCTCTGTACATGTGTGTACATGTTTGTGGTAAAGCTGCCAGTCGGTGCTATTATCGACGTTGGATTGAGGAGATTCGTGCTGCTCCAGTGCATTGATTGCTACTCGGAGGAAGCAATAAATCAACTGAAGATTTGCAGCAAAACCATTTATTCGTATATAAAAATATAAGATAATAATAAAAAATTATAAATAAGAGAAGAAATCCTTTAGCAATTCACAGCAACGCAACGATTGAAGCGATTGAATGCAGCCGTCTACAACTCACTCGCTTTAAATTATTCCTTAAGGAAATCTTTGTACTACGTGGTGGTGGAAACGCAAATAAATACATATACATGTTTCGACGTCTGTGGTTTAAATCTATACAGACACTTGTACTGAATCTGCCAGAGCTTTGGGTAAAATATGATTGGAGAAAAAATAAATTAAAACAAAATATAAAATAAATACAAAAATGATATCAAAATTAAAAAAAATAACAAAAATTAGAAAATTAAAAGTCAATTAATATAATTGAAATAAAACAAAATAAATAAAAAAATATAATTACATAATGCAATATAAAGTAAAATAAAACAATAATAGATACAATAAAAATAAAGCAAAAAAAAAAGAACAAAATAAAATAAAATAATAAAAAACACAATAAAATAAATATAAAAATAAAATAAAGCAGATTGAAACCAAACAGAATGAATTAAACCAAAGTAAAAAAAAATAAAATTATAAAGAATACTATAACCTAAAACAAAAAAAAATTAAATAAACTAATACAAAACACAGTAACACAAATTAAAATAAAATAAAGGAAAGTAAAACAAAACGAAATAATATAAAAGAAAATAAAATAAAGAAAAACTAAATTAAGTTAAATGAGATAAAATAAAATCAAGAAAAATTAAATTAAAAAATTATACTAAAGTAGAATATAGATTTTTATATATAGAGATATGTATGTATTTATTAAAGATGATTGACAGTTTTGTTAAAAGCTTTCTTAACTACTAACTTAACTGCTACCATATTTCTTTCCCTCAT